GTCAGCTTTCATGGTTGCAATAAGTGCATTTTAAGCGCTTTATAGGGAGTGGGGCATATGTACATATGTATTTATGTATTCATATTTTAATAACACCAGAAGAAGTTGTGGGTTGCATAATACGTGTGTATTCTTTTTTAATAAGCGAACCTTTTAATTTTTTTTAAAAAAAATTTATGTGTTCCACATAAATCACTCATGAGTTTGTTATTCTTGACAGGTTTGCTGAAATCATGTAGAATAGTGCCTTTGTGATTAGCCAGTCCTCTTATTTTGTTCTTTTAATTGACGATGATATATTCGAATTAATAATTTGGTTTCTTGAAAATTTTCCAGAATAAAAGCGAGCAACCCTTGGCTGCTTACACCTGTATTCAGTAAAGTAGCCCTCAGCAGGAAATGTCAATTTCTCAAGTGAATTCTTGAGATGTAATGAGGAGCTACGGACATGCTTCTCGTGGTGAAGAGGGGTATTAATATCTTGATTCCTTCCTCGATGTATTTTCCAGCCAATGCCTTCGTATAATTCTACACCTCCTTTTTTCAATTTTCAATTTTTATTTTTTGTTATGTTCTAGAATCATCTTCTGTTGAAAACCTGTTTCCACCCATGTGCAGCTTCAGGGATGTAAAGCGATAGTAATCGGAAGAAGCTGGTTGTCCCAAACCATCTCGCGTGTTTCCCTGATCTAGCTACTTCCGAGTACTAGGCGAGCAGTTGCTCTTGTTCGGAATTGCCCTCCGCAAATGTTTTTTTTTTACAGTACCTTGCAGAGTTGCTGGTCGGACTCTAAGTCAGGTATCCGATTGAAATTATGTGCTTAGTAGTTGGAATTATGTGGTTAGACACATATATCTATATATATAGATATTCATTTGCAAAAATTTTTGCTAACGAAAATAAAAAAATCTTCAGAAATCTCAAAACGGAAACTTTTTCATCGAAGTGGCGAAAACATTTTAAAAGATTTGGGTTTTAGAGCGCTCTCACGAGGTAAAGAGCCAAATTACTGACCTCGCGCTGGCCTCGTTTCAAAAGGTAGAAGTCTGGCTGCACAACAATTCACCACTAACACGACGAAAATAAAATCCCTTCATCCGTGAGATCCACAGTACACTTACTTTATCGATGCTATACTAGCCGTATCCAAAAAAAAAAAAAAAAAAATAAGTTTTATAAATTTTGTTTTGTAGTATTCTTACACATAATTTTTAATAACTTTTTTTATATATAATATTATTTTAGTGTAGGTAAACATACCGTGATTCTGCTATCCGCTGTTAAGTATATAACTGCCACTTGATTTGGCGGCCAATCATATGCGCAGTCGACGCTTTGAATGGACTTTTCTTGTCCAAATACTTAAAGGTCTGACTACGAGCTGTCTTACGAACATTAACAATATTTTTTTTATTCATAAATTTTTTTTATTATTATTAGTTTACCCTTTTACTTTGCTAAATTGTGACGGCTGCTTTTTTTATTGTTATTGCTTTTCTTTTGCTATTTTTTATTTCTGTTTTTTTTTTTTCTGTATTTTTGTTGTCTTTTATACGATTATAATTTTTGTATATTTTATTATAATATTTTTTAGCTTTTTTATTGGTGGTTTTGTTTGGGAATTAGTTTTTATTTAGCAGCCTGTTGTGTTAAACTCACACACATCCATACATATATGACCGGCTGATAAGTCAAACAGTAAATAAATGTTTATTTACCTTTCACTTTGTATGTGCTCCTCGTATGTAATTGGCAAAATTGTTGTTGCCGTTGATATTTTTGTTGCTTACATTTTTTTAGGCAAACAACAACAAGTTATTATGGCGGCGGCACCTTTCCTTTCCTTATTCTCGTACAACATATACACACGTATTCCCATTGTAAATGAATGTGTGTATGTGTGTATGTAGTTACGAGTAGTCTAATAATGTTTTTTCTTATTTAATCTTGTTTCTATTTTTTGTTATATTGTTTTTCCTTTTTCTTTTTTTCATTTTTATTTTCCTCTCTACTTTGCAAACTTAATTATTTGTATAGTTTATTAGCTATTGGTGTGAAAGACAGCGCTGAGGCAGAGAGTATGCATACATATACATACATATGTAAAATATATTTTTGCTGCATATACGTATGTATAAAAAAAATGCAATCGAATTTCTTGTATGGCAAAAGAGTAATAAAAGTTTTGCGGTTAGCAGCCGCAATTCCCTCAGTGCAATGACAAATTAAAATTAATCGATACGCCAATACTTGGCCGGTCGCTCGGCGGCCAGTCGGTTGGTAGGTTGGTAGGTTGGCAGGTTATTTGGTCGGTCGGCAAATTAGCATATTACACTAACCGGTAAAGTACTGTTGTTGGCGTAATGGTAAAAGTTTTTTCAAGGTCAGTGTTTGGAAGTGTGCTTTTCTATTGTTTTGTCGATAGGCAAAATGTTGCTTTTCTCACCACCTTTCTTTTACACATACACAAGCTAATAAATAATGTACCACTTACATATGTACGTTAGAATGTAGTTTCAGGAAACAAGTGTTTACTTGTATATGATATATTTGTCTAGCAAATATATTAGAATTTCTTAAATATTTTTCTTCTTCCCTTTATCTTTTCACTCTGTGTTCTTTGCCAAAAACTGAATATTTATCGTCTTGTATTCTAGTTTGGCCTAGGGCAGTATTTATTTGATTAAATTTTGTAATTATTCCTTTCATAAGTGTTTTATAATTTCCCGTTCTTGTTGTGTTTATATAATTTTCTTAGAATTTTTATTCTATCCATTTTCTGTGTAATTTTATTTATTTACTTGCATATTTATATATATTTCTTTTAAGCTCACGTGAGCTTATTTAATGAAATAGTTTCTAACGTAATATTTGCCATGTGATGTTTTCATTTGCTTGACGTAGGATAGAATGAGAAAAGGCAGATAATGTATTAAAAATTATTTAAAAATGTCAAAAGTCGAAGGAGAAATTGTAATGTTTGAGTTCTTTCTCGCTGTCATTCTACAGCGTGGCCATGATGTCCGAGTGGTTAGCAGTGGTCTAAAAATTATAGAAAATTCGTTTTAATAAAAAATGAATTTCAATTTTCTAATTGCGATCGCCACTCGGCAGGGAATGTCAACCACTCATTATCAACCATGCACATGTGGCCGTGCACGCAGTAAATGTGCATTCTTCAGTTTTCAGCCAGTACTTGAATCGCTTCTTTGCATAATGCGAGCGCAATTGATTTCATGCTGTATAAAATTAAGGCATTTATGGCCGCTTGACTATCTACATAGCTGTGTCTTCTCTTCATTTGAAAGTTGGCACATTGTAGTAGCTCTGGCAAAAATTTCAGCTTGGAAGATACTTCAATGGCTTGATTGCTTATACGTCATCGTTATCTCTAGTTCGGCGCAGTAAAATCCAGGCCCCACTCCTTCGTTCATTTCAGAACCAACTGTGAAAACGTGAAGATCTTTGTCTGCGTGATTCTGACCTTTGTTCTTGCCATTTACCTCTATGGTAGCTGAAAACAACTTCGTGAAGTTCAGGCGCGAGATTACGTGGTTTATTCGTACACTCAGGGCAACCGCTGAATACTCTTTCCGACCCATCCAGATATGTAATTTTGCCCAAAACTTTCCATCATATTAAAGCTCCGTTGAAAAGTATTGGCTTAACAACAGCAATGAAAATCTAGTGGGAGATAGCGTGGGAGAGAACCCAAACGCAGCCCAACATCCTTTTGCACGTAGTTAGGGCCGCCGATGCCATCTTCATTCGTTCTCCACATTGAGTCTCCACGATAACTTGCTGTCTACCAAAAGATACCCAGATAATTAGTGCTAAGCTTTAGCTGTAAAGTGTTCTGTCTCAGCTTTGGTTTGATCTATGTATTTCCTTAGAAATAGAATCTGTTTTCTTAGTATTAACATTGAGCCCTGCTGAAATAACTGCGCAATTAGGTTAATGGTTCCAAGTGCCTGAATCGCCAGAGACTCGAGAGTTGCCAAACACTGGACGCTCACTATGGCTAAGATATCATTCGCAGAGGCTGTAAGTATGACGGCTCGTCCTTTCATCTTCTTGAATAATTCAATAACCGCGATGGTAAAAAGTAGAAGTCACAGCACTCGACCTTGCGGAGTTTCCTTACACATAACCCTCGTCACGACGACTAATACCCATTGCGCTGAGATCTTCTTGCAATGGGTGTTAGTCCTAGAGCAAATACGCAAGAAAAAGTCCCAGTTCTCCAGAACGTCGGGTCTTGGGAACCGATATGAGGAGGATATTTTGTAACTGATCTAATCTCTTCAAATATTAAAAATTATGGCTAATCGCTTTAGTAGTTGGACAATTATGTGCACCACAACCTCCACTTAACGCAAGAAACGTGGCGAAACGTTTCAATCCCCATTTTTGTAGTGAATTCTAGCAAATTTTAGCGCATTGTGCAGTTGTTTGGTGATCCATTTTCATAAATGTATAACTTTTACTTAAAACAAAACATGTTTGGTTTGACAGTTAAGTTTAAGAGATATCAAAATCCAGCCCTGTACTTTTGAAACCACGAAATGGATTGCCATACATACATATATGCTACCAATTACTGGATCTAACGAAATTCGAAGCACGTGTTGATGACAGTCCCTTAATTCGGCGTAAAAATTCCAACAAATAATAATATTCGCATAAATTTGGCACAAATTAATATTTTCACAAATTTACGGGCAAATAAAAATAATAACTGTATATGTGTCTATTTATAAATCACATCCATTTAATAATTATAATTTCCGAAATCTTTATATAATATTCTCTGCATAGCTTTCATCACTTGCCATTTATTTAAATGAAAAAAGTAAACTCTTTGGCATCGAAGAGTGCTTAGAATTATAGGTATAGAATATACATTTTAATGAGCTATAAATATGTTTAAATTAATTTGGTTGCATATTTAATAGAATTAAATTTTCTTTTTTCTAATTCTTTTCCTTTTGATTTGCAGCAAACATTCCTCAGTTCATCGGATGCGGATGATGAACCCATAAAACAACTGCCAAAGGAAATTCTTTTACGTATTTTCTCCTACTTGGATGTGGTGTCTTTATGCAGATGTGCACAAGTAAGTTGCAAAAAGATAATAATTTTTTATTAAATTAATTTTGATATTTAGTTAAGTTTTCGTGTCTTTTTTTGTGTGAAGCGGTCTATACAGATTAAATATAAGGAAAAGTCAGTCAATATGAGGCTTAATTTATCACTAGCGAAAAAATTTTAGATCAATTAATTTTGATATGGTATATACCAAACGTCTAAGAAGACACCCTATACAACAAATCGACTCATTTCTTTAAGTCTCGCCACGCCTTGACCATTTCACATCCTTCAATGACGTTGAAATAAATTATTGTAATTCAACGAAACATTGTTTCCGGCATTTTACGAAAAATTTGAAAAATAACGTCTGTGCTTAATTATAACAATTTTTTAGGCTTTTGTTCATTCGCTAGCGTAGAATTTGTGACGAGAAAATCAATATCTACCTGTGTGTGTGTAATGAATTTCGCACAAATTCTGCTTTTGCAGTTTATAACCAAATCACGTTTGCGCGATTTCTAAATTATACGTTAAGTGTTTCTTGTGTTTTCGTTGTAATGTTTTTTGTTTTTTTATGAAGTCACTGAATGAATTGCTTATGACTTATCAGCGGCTGAGAATGCGAACTGAGAGTAATAGACATTTTTGTATTTTGTTTTTGATTTTGTTTTGCATTTTATTTGGAAATGAATATTTGTTCTCACGTTTTTCAGTACGTTGACTGCTAAAAAAAAAATACATTTTTTTTATTAATATTTCACCTGGCAACATTGACAGAATTTGTTTTTATTTTTTCTAAAATTATTTCGAAAAAAATCACTTTCTTTCAAGGTTATGTGTCTAAAACGTCACTCACATTGTGCGTGACCACCTTTTAAATGCATTAATATTAATTATGGAACAGAATGGCGCGCATGTCACAAGAAAGTCACAGGTCATATTGTTATAAAATAATATTATTATCACGACTATCCAGCTGACATAAATTTTGCCATGCAATCTGTTGTATACGTAAGTAAACAAAATATAATAATGATTAAATAATATTTAAAAAAATAAATATGAAAAAAAAATTAAAAATTAATAAGATAAATACTAAAATAAAATAAGAAATAAATAAGATAAGTATTAAAATGTAATAAAAAAACAAATAAAATAAATACAAAAAAAAAGAAATAAAATAAAATCTAATTAAATAAAATAAAAGAATAATTAAAATAAAATAAAAGAATAATTAAAATAAAATAAAATAAAATAAAATAAAATAAAATAAAATAAAATAAAATAAAATAAAATAAAATAAAATAAAATAAAATAAAATAAAATAAAATAAAATAAAATAAAATAAAATAAAATAAAATAAAATAAAATAAAATAAATTAAAATAAAATAAAATAACATAAAACAAAAAGAGATCAGATTAAAATAAACAAAAGTAAATAAAATGAATATAAATAAAATAATTTAGCAAGTAAAAAATAACGCAATCAAGTAAAATAAAATAAATGTAAATAAATTATTTTAGAAAGCAGAAAGCTTAGGGTATTGAGCTCTATTGACGTCATCACTTTAGTAAATATGATTTTTAATAATCTCGCCAATTATTTCCACATAAATATTGAAATAGTTTCAGCAAGTAGCCTTGATAAAACAACAAAGCGAACCAAAAAAGCACCTTTGGACCCTGTAACGTGTTTAACCGTAAAAAAAAAAACAATAGAACATACTTCATTATTAATGATTCCACCTAAAATCTGTAACGTCATTTTTATCGCTTTTCGTCATCACTGAGCGATTTTACGCCGCCATGCTTTACAAAATACATACATATATGCCGCATTGTTTATTGTTTATTGTGCTTTCTTCTTCCTCTTCTCCTTTTGACTTGCAACTAGTCGACGCAAGTGCATATTAATGAGCAAATGATTTGTTTTTATATTTGAATATAAGTACTTGCTGGTTTTATGATTATTAAATAATAATCACATGCGTTGCTGGTTTGTTCTGTGCAAATATACACACACTCGTATACACATTTACATATTAAGTTTCTTTATATACATATTTATTTGGCTGTAAAATATTTCAATATACTTGTTCTCATGACAAGCCTACTTAAAAGCGCACGTAGTATGCCTTCATAATTTTTGCTATATACATATTTACGTACGTGTGGGTAATCCATTTGCATGTGCAAATTTTCTGATTTTATTTCTTGAATTTTATTTTTGCTCGCATTCTCATTTTGCTTGCAAGGTCAGTTTCAGATAAAGTTTTTTCGCTGTAATACGGTAATACATACATATAGGAAATGTTAAAAATGTCAACTAGTGCCTTTCTACATACGCGGATCCATATGCGCCTAATACATGCTTATTGCGCGATTTAGTTGTTGATAAAAATCTCATTCCTCCATTACATACATACATATTTATGTATATCAGGGACAGAATTTCTTATTGAATTAAAATGCTTCTCTGCATAATTTATATTCCATAGTCAATATCGTTATTATGCACTTCATATTTAATTGCATATACACTATATGTACACGCATATATGTATAAATAAATGACATAAGGAATTTTTCCCATTGTTCAGCTAAAATGAGCAAACACTAATTCATATTTGAAGCTTCATTTTACATACGTATATGGCTCTTGGTATCTCCAATTAGCGCCAAACAGCGAGAAAAAATTAAAATAAGTAAGGAAGAAAGTACACAACACATTTAATAACTAAAAAAATAAAAACGATTTAATTACATAGAAGGAAGCTTTCCATAATTAGTTAAAAAAATAAATAAATAAGATAAAATAAAAAAATAAAATATAAAAAACAACTAAATAGAATACAATAATAAAATAAACTAAAATATAAATTAAGAAAAAAAAGGTAAACTATTGTAAGTCAAATAAAACTTAAAATAAATTTATAATAAAAACAAATTAAAATACAATAACAAAATAAAAAAAATAAAAAAAAAAATAAAAAAAAATAAAAAAAATAAAAAAAAATAAAAAAAAATAAAAAAAAGAAATAAAAAAAAAATAAAAAAAAAATAAAATTAGTAAAAATATAAAAAGGAGCCTTAAACAAAATACATAAATATAATAAAAGATAGATAAAATTAAACATAACAAATAAAAGAATAAAAGATACCAAATAAATAAAAATTAAAGTAAAGTAAGCCAAATCAAACATAGAATATAATAAAAAAAAAAGTAAAAAAAAAAAATAAAAAAAAATTAAATTAAAATAACAAAATAAAATAAAGTAACGAAATAAAATAAATTCAAAAAACGAAAACAAAATAAAATAAGTAAAAATATAAAAAGTAGCCTTAAACAAAATACACAAATACAATAAGGATAGATAAAATTAAACATATCACAATAAAATAAAAAAATAAAAAAATACGAAATAAATAAAAATTAAAGTAATGTAAGTCAAATAAAACATCGAATATAATAAAATAAATAAGTAAAAAAAAAATCAGAAATTAAAATAAATAAAAAATATAGTGAAGAAAATTAAATAAAACATAAAATATAAAAGTAAAGTAAAATAAAAAAAAATAAAATAAAATAAAATAAAAAAAATTAAATTAAATAAAATAAAATAAAATAAAATAGAATAAAATAAAATAAAATAAAAGACAATAAAATAAAAAAATTAAATAATAAAGTAAAATAAAATGAACTAATATAAAATAAAATAAAATTAAATTAAATTAAATTAAAAAAAATAAAATGAAATGAAATAGAATAGTAAAACCATTAATAAAAATAAAATAAAATACAGTAAATTAAAAAACAAAAATAAAATAAATTAAACAGCCATCTTTTTCAAACTGAAAATAGGAGAACAGATAAGTTCGGATCATGCACAAAAAATCACGTTTAAAAAATCGCCTTCACTATTTCACTATATTTTTTTCCAAAATATACGCAAAATATCGACTTCCAGAATATTTAATAATCAGCTCTAGATCAGCTTTGAACTACTATGTTACGTGATAGAATTAACTGGAATCTCAATCGCATGCAACACTCTCTCCTACACTCTCAAATGACTTATTTATGGTTTGCTGAATTTTCATCATATTTTTTCTATGTGGAAACCGCCACTGAGTACATTGAACCGGCAAAACCACTCAGAAGGCAAGATTTTCTAAAAGTTTTACAACAAATTCAAGTAAGTAAATTTGCAATTCGCGTGACCACAGCAATTCCTTTGCACATCATGCGCGCCATACGAAATTGTAAAACAAACATAAATATTCTACTGCCATTAAACTAATATGTCTTCACGTCTTATGCGGCTCTTCTTCGCTATAAGCGTTGAAGAATCATTAAATTTAAAGCATTTGAAATGGAAATGGTGATAAAATTACCACGCCAGACACAAAGAAATGCAGAAGTCGGCGTCCAAAGCGGACTGGTTGGCTGGTCTCTTGCACACAAAGAAGTGCAAAGCGGTGTGTAACTTCATCCAAGGCGGCAACTTTTCTCCTCAAGTTCCATCAGCGCTGCCATTTTGCCAAGCATGAATCATTTTACAGTTATACACAAAGAAAGAGTATGCTTTTTGTGCTAATCCTCGCCAGAAATGTGTAAATAAATACATGGACTGATTCTTTTTTTTTATTTTAATATTTCTTTTTGCTTATTGTTGCAGTTCTGTTTTTGTCTCTCGCTGTTGGCACTCATTTTTCTTTTTCATTTTCATTTGCTGTTGGCATTGGTTATAGCTTTGACTTTGGTTTCATTGTCGTTTTCATTTAGCCGTGCAATCCTGCCGCCTCTAACTCCTTTACTGTTGTGTTGTCTACTATGAATTGCCAAGAATTTCACTGTCGTTGCGTGAGAGAACAAAGGAAATGCCAACAAAACCAACAACTGGATTGGAGCTATATGGAGGACGTCATTCTTGGCGCTGAGTCATTTGTGGGTTGAGTTTGTGAAGCTGCTGGCTATGTTGCTGGCAGAGTATGAGCTCAGGCAGCTTTAATGTTTATCGATT